TGTATATGTATATATGTGTATATGTGTGTATATGTATGTATATGTATATGTGTGTATATGTATATATGTGTGTATATTTATATATGTATGTATGTGTGTATATGTATATATGTGTATATATGTATGTATATATGTGTGTATATGTATATGTATATATGTATATGTGTGTATATGTATATGTATATATGTATATGTGTATATATATATATATGTATATATGTATATGTGTATGTATATGTATATATATGTATGTATATGTATATATATGTATATATGTGTATGTATATGTATATATGTGTGTATATGTATATATATGTATATGTATATAGTATATATATGTATATGTATATAGTATATATATGTATATGTATATGTATATGTCTATATGTATATGTATATGTATATGTCTATTTGTATATGTATATATAGATAATTGGCACATAACAAGAGAAATTAACAATTTACACAGGATTAAAACTGGAAAATGTACTTTTACTTTCACTGGGTCTTTAAGTGTCCTTAGAATCGACGGCTGTTTCTGAGCTCTGTTCGCCAGGATGGAGATGGGTGATGACCATGTCAGGTTCTCTGTGATGCTGAGTCCCAGGAACCTAAAACTGTTCGTTCCACCTCAGCGCCATTGATTACTGCTCATTTAACTTTTCATCACTTGAGTAAAAGTATTAAAAAGTAACTAATATTCTTAAGGTTCATGTTTTGAATGCAGGACTTTTACTTGTACTGTTTTATTGGTGCTTTAAACCTGATTAAAGGATCTGAATATTTACATCCTGTCTGTTAGTGTCTTGTTAGCCAGCAAGTGATTTACCAATCCATCTTCAAAGAGGACAGCACTTGAGAGATGCTGAACCCAGTTGGTATTTGTCAATGAATGACTCCAATGCATCTGCTAAGTTCTCCTGAAACCACAATGTCTCATTGTCTGTTTCTACATGTGTTAAATACAGATGCAGTAATACGTATATTGTATTCCCCTGCTTCCAGGATTTGAGCTAATCTAGGCTGAACAAGTTCATTCTGTTACTGGACACACAGATATTAAACTAGTATTGATCTCCTCTCACTTTGGCTAAAAGTGCAAACAATCTTATTTCTCATCATGTCAGTGTTTAAGTATTCCCTCACCGAAGCTTTTACTGAGTGAAGGGCAAAGGCTGATTAAACGACTGTCCTGAATGGAGCTGCTTGTGTCATGCTGAGGAAACTGTCGGCTGTCTCCCTCTCAGCCTGTCTCTCTCTCTCTCTCCTCTGCTTCAGTTTACAGCAGATAAATCTCTCCCAGAACCAGCTCACCAGTTTGCCACCCGGACTACTCCATCTGACCAACATCCAGAGACTTTCTGCTGCCAAGAACCAGCTCACAGTCCTGTTTGACATCCCATCAAGTATGTTCCTACGCAACTCATATCTATCTGTTGTTTGTATGTGGGAAGAACATTTTCATTTAGATTTAAGAATATATTGTATTAACTTAATTGTTGTCAACTGCATGTCAAGGTTATTTAGAAAGAGTTGGCTCTAGAGCTGTTCAACGTGTTTCTATTTGATTGTTGAGAGAAGCAAACTTTTGAAATGTTGCAAAAAATAAATTAGAATTGACCGCGTTTCCATCGACTGGTTTTGAGCGAATAAACTCAGCTACAGTGCAGTTTGGTCCAAAGTTGGCCCCGTAGGCTATGTATGACTGTTATCTGCCAGTAGGTGATCAGTAAAGGCGTTTCCCTATCTCAGCACAAAACAACTCAAACAAGCGTAACCACTTTTTTGTTCCTCAAGAAGTTTGTTGCCATTTCAATACAGCTTTTCTAAAGCGATACTTTAAAATATGCAGACAAATACATGAATGAAAACAGCTAATGAGTATAGCAACCGCTAGACTTTAGCATCAGAGCTGTTTCAGATGTGATGCTCTGGTGCACTTGACTTAAACTGGTCCTGAAACCCAACTGGAAGGAGGTTTTAATTTAGCCTGTTAGTCACTTAAACCTGCAGGTCTGAAGCTGTAGTTCAGCCTGACTCAATATTCATTTTTTTTTTTAAATAAGTGTTTACCAATAAAGATACCCTGTGTCCAAACACATGTTATGTCCCCACACTTCTGTGTGCTGCTGTTAGAGAGCAGTGATTAGCTTATTAAAGACAAACCACACAGTGAAATTACAGTGTTTTGAGCTGTGTAGTATTTTTTGAACCAGTTCTTTTGCCTCCCCGCAAGAGACGGCCGTGGTCGAAGGCATCATGTTTTCGGGTTGTCCGTCCGTCCGTCCGTCCGTCCGTCCGTCCGTCTAGGCTGTTCTTGTGAACGCATTGTCTCAGGAACGTCTTGAGGCACATCCTTTAAAGACCTTTACACCTGGACTCAAGGAATAGCTGATTAGAATTTGTGGTCAAAGGTCACTGTGACCTCACAAATTATGTTTAGCCATAACTCAATAAGTCATATGTTAATTATGACAATTTCACACAAATGTCTTTAGAATAAAATGATGAGGTGATGACATTGTGGACAGACATGGATGTAAACTGCAACATGACTGAGGCGGTAATAATGATGATGGTCACATGTAAGTTATTAGATAAATGGACTAATAATAACATGACTTTAAATAACAGAGGTCAGACAACCAAAGATTATCTTTTAACATCAGTTGTCTGAAATGTCAGAATATAATGAAACACGTTTTTCTGTTTCCTATGATGTCCTCAAATGTTTTGTCCAAGCAACAGTCCATAACATTAGGATATTTAGTTTACAATCACATTAAAGAGAGAAGAGCTGAACACCCTCCCATTGGTTAGGAGGGGCAGAGATACTCAATATTCATCTATTAACAGTGGGGATATATTGTGAATGAATTCATGTGGTTATTACAGCCATTTATACAATTATTGTCAGATAAATAGAGGTTGCCATATATTAACCATTCTATTGTAGTTGTTGATTTGTCATTCGTGCCGGTCTGATTTAGACTTTGACTGTGTTCTTTATTTCCATTCTGTCAGCTACTAACTGGATCGGTCTGCGTAAGCTGGAGGAGCTGGATGTGTCTGATAACTGTCTGACCAGTCTGCCCACGGCAGTCATGCACTGTTTGAAATCCCTGAGCTTCCTCAACGTGTGCAGGAACTCACTGAGCAGCTTCCCTGACCCCTGGGCGTGTCCACTGGTAAGAAACGACACTGCTAGTGATCCACTTCCTGTTTGATATATCTGCTGATATTTGAGTTTTCTTTTCATCAAAATAGAATTTTCCAGTCGCTGATGTTCTGTGTATTACTGTATTGAGCTCATTTAATGAAATATTTCAATATAATTGTTTGATAGTTAATCGCGTTTGCCATCCATAGAGGGCTCATTACTGCATTTGGTTTGTTATGGATCTTTTGATGGTTACACTCACTCATCAGTGTCACTTCTTGGTATAAAAGCGGTTTGAGAGGCTCAGCTGCCACATCAAACATACAGATGCAGCCATCTAGAATTTCCACCTGGTCCGTGACGGGGACAGGCGGATCCTGGCCGTCCTGGGCTGAAATGAGACCCCTCCTTGATAACGTAGTGAACAATGTCGTGACCCTTAAAAGAAACAAAAAAAACCGACAACCTTTATCTGTGTTCCCTGGACCAGACACGAAGGGGCTGTAAGGCGTTGTAAAAGGCACTTCATTCAAACTCATAAACAAGTGGCGATGAATACAGTGTGCAAGATTAGCTTTGGACAGACACAGAGGTGCGCAATTACTGACGCACTCACACGCGACCAATCACATGATCCTCCTGGTGCAGGTAATAACAACAGACAGAGTACTTTAAAGTTGGGACAGAATTTTAGAAAGAGAATAGACAGAACATCGCACTGCATTATCTTTTTATTGACATTTATAAAGATATTAACTGAAATATTTAAAACCACACGGTAATGCCTTCATCACATTGACAATTGTTTTTAGGGGGGGTTACTAGAAGAACATTTGTAATACAAATACAAATCCGTCAGTGAACTGAAATGATGTTATGTATCGACATAATAACACACATGGATATTCTTCTTTCTCCTCTGCAGAAGCAATGCAAAGCTTCCTCCAATGTGATCGAGAGACTTCCAAACACCATCTCCATCTTCTGGAGGACTCAGCTGCAGGAGGTGGACTTCTCTGACAACAGCCTGAAGGAGCTGCCTTCTTATATCTTTGAACTGGAGGTAGGAACTACCATCTGGATCTGTTACTGTGCACCTTTATGTGCACAGCTGGAGAGTTAACAGTGACAATTCTATGAATTAAATACAACATCAATGCATTAATATAAAAATAACAGTAGTCCGACTTCTGTGTGTGGTCAGTTGAGCAGCCTCCAGATGGCACTGCTGCTGTGTGGTTGACTTCATGTTTGAGTCATTGACTTACATTCTTGGTCTGCAGCTTAGAAGCACCAGGGTAGTAATATAGTGAGAATGATCAACATAATAATAATAATTATGTTTATTTATATAGCACTTTTCAAAAACAGAGACACCAAACCAACATGAATAGTACAACGATGGGCCTCATACAGAAAACAGAACTAGCACATACCAATGATTTCAACATTTTGTCCTGTATGTGAATGAAATGAGTGGTTCAGATCAGTACATGAGTGTTCGTACAGACGCTCTGACTTTCTTCACTGCAGAAAAACAGTAGTTTGGTTAAATAAGTATACTGCTTTAATCTAAATGAATTGGAGTTTAAATATGTTATTAACAGCAAATGATAACATCAATAAAAGCAAACCTAACAAAAATGTAAATTATGTTCAGTGAATTAGTATGATGTACATCATGGCTGCCAGTTTACTGACAGCTTTCACAAGTTTTTTTGTGGGGGTTTTTTTAGTTGCAGTTAAATAGTTTTAAATTCTGACTTTATGAAAGTCGATGTCGGGAAAAATATTGTCATCGCAAAAGCTGTGATACAGTTTATTCTGTCATCCACCTCCATGACTGCCACATCTCCTCGACTGCCTCCCATGTCAGTCATGGATGTCTTTCCCCTAACACCACCACAGACAATGATTCATCTGCTGATCTCCAACAGACTTAGTCTCTGTGTCGTGAGGTTCCAGCCTGTCTCCTACAACATGACGTTCCCATACAACCTAACTGCATTCTCAATTATGTTTCATGGGAAACTTGTTTTCCTTTCGAGTCACATAGACTATATTACAAGTGGACGTTGTTTTTGGCTGTTGGTTTTTTTTGAAAGCAGAAGACGTGTTTAGACAAGCAAAATGTAACAATTAACTTCCATGAAGAGAAAACACATTGTGAAAGGGTTAAAGTTATTAGACCGACAGACAATGTCGTGGCAGAGACCTGTCAATAACTGTGTAGCCCCGCCCTAAAGCATCCCCTGCTTTATGGTCTGTTTGACTCTAAATGGACCATAATGTACTAAATGAACATCATGCTGTATTGAAGAAGACTTGAAACTAGAGATTGAGACCATAAACTCATGTTTACAATGTTTACTGAGGTAATAAATCAAGAGAGAAGTAGAGTTATTTTCTCATAGAGAGAAACAAATTGAAACAAAACAAAAATGCAACAAAACCACTTGCTTTGGTCTCATAAAACATGTGTTATTTGTTACTGAAGTTACAAATGTAAATCAAAATCGTTTTTTCAGGTTCCACACAGGACATGAACAGTGGTCTCCTGGGTGATGGCCTTTTCTTTAGTCTGACTCATCTATCACCCCATCCTGCCCTCCATGACTCCATAACTTACATATTTGTGATTCGTCAAAAATATAGGTAATACAGGAGGAAATATGTTTTCGCTTGAATATTTATTGAGTGAAGTTTTGTTGTATGGGAAAGTAATTTTAATAAACCAGGCTGGAGATTCTTTCTTTTACTGTCTGAAACTTGCCCATAAATGGAGGCGAGCAGGAAGCCATGTATGACAAGCTGAGGAGAGTTCGCTGAATAAGCCTGGGAACACTGGTACTATGAAATGTCCAAACAGATTTAAGATTTCCATATACAAAAATGTTGTTTCATTCAGCCCAATGGAGGATTGGACAACCAAGTCATTCATTGATGTGAGAAAAGACAGTAAGCCGTCCTTGTGCCCTCAGTGGTTGGCTTTAGTGGCCCACGCTTCTAGTCCAGTATGAACTATATTAAGTTATAATATGTTGATGCATTTTATTTGAGTCATCAATCAGAGGTATTCTGAAAACCAAAGCATTTCATTCTTGGGAATCTGTTCTGCAACCCAATGTGAAACAGATCTTTTGGTACAAGAGTGTGTTTTGTGTACCTCCATTTGAAATGAATTGTATTTGTTTTTTAAATATGTGATGTAACAAGATATCTGTTTTTGAGAAAGGAGCTGCTGCTGCTGCTTCAAAACACTAGAACAACCTCTCCTTCATAATGTCAATGGTTTTTCTGACAGACTTGGCTGCTCTTTATTTCAGAACTCTATTTAGCTTCAGACAAGGCCTGAGTGAATGAATGATGAGAGTGTGAATGATTTGAAGCAGCTAACTACAGTGAGAACGTTGGAGCTTGTGTTCTCATCACTGTACAGGAGAGCTGGCCAGTGATCCAGTCAGCCAGCTGTCTGTGTATTTCTAGAAGGAAAATGTGAATGTGTGGTTTACAATATCTCACCCTCCTCCCACTCATCCTCCCATCAGGCTCTGGTCTTGTTGAGATTGTGTGGGAATCACATCGTGACACTCCCAGCCCCCAGTAAGTGGAAGTGCTCTCAGCTCAGGACCCTCGATCTGTCCAGGAATCAGCTGGGCAAGTAGGTCCACACTGAAGACACACACTGCCAGCTGTTACTGAACAACCCGGCCTTTCTCCAGAGTTTACTACATGTCATGTGTGAAAACACATTCTGCAGTTCCAATGCATGTCTATCATTCAGCCAGCTTTCAAGAGAGTTTGTGATGTTTAACGATAAAACCAGGGTTGGGCTTTGATAACATTCGATCAAATCTGAGTTTGCTATAAAATCCTCTTATTTTCAATGACTTATCAAAGCTAAGTAGGTTAAGCTTTGGACCTTTGTTGGTAACTCAAGGTAGCCTCAGCTAACACTCAAAGATTAATGTTCGATCCGTCATCACCTGTTGTTGGATGACAAACACAGTAATTCTAGTAAGACTAGATAGATCTGATGCAGCTTGTTTGGTTCCAGCCTTTACACGTTTGTACTGAATATTATTTACTGTATCATGCTGGGCTTAAAGTAGAGTTCTTGTCGCTCTTGATTACTACTTTTGTTCTTTTTTGTCTCGACAATTTTCATATTTATAGATATTTGTGTGCCTGTGCAGTAAAGGCTACTGTTTGTAGATGGGGAGTGTTCCATTTATTGTTACTGTATTACAAATTGTGTCTTAAGAACAGAGGAAGGGCCTAAATCCAGGAGGCTGGCCTTCTTGACTACATGGAGCAGGAGGGACCCGGACCCAGACCCAGGTGGATCTGCTTTACACACATGGAAATAATTCAGTTGAATAATGTGAACCTACTCATAATGTGGACTAGATGGTGTCGGGACTGTAAGGTCAGACTTACACATGCTTTCTGCCATTATTCAGTCCCTCCATTAAATGACCAACAAAGAAATAATCCCCCCCTTACTTCAGGGCAAAATAAGTCCCTTACATTGCTTTAAAAGAACATTTTATTCACATGATTATTGCAGAGGTCACTAAACAAACCTGGTCTCCCCCCGACTCATGACTTTAGAGTGAGAACGAGATCCTGATTAATGTCCTGTAATCCTCTGATGACACGATGTAGTTTGATTAAATACCTCATTATTGTGTAACTGTATCTTGTTTGTATTAGTGTTGCATAGTGTTTTACATGCTGTTTCAGAGGAACTGCATCATGCCAAGAATGTGCTTCTGTGGAACTGTCTGCTTACTTTTTAAATTTCTCTGGAAATGTTTGGCCTGAGTCAGTAACTCAGTTCATTCTATTAACTGTATCTAGCCGTGACCCTCTGTATGGCTCTGTCTTGGCAGTGTGTCCCATAGAGTTTCCCATGATTCTGCGGGATTCACTGGAAGTGCTTTCCTTGAATGACAACCAGCTAGAGTGTGTTCCCCAATCAGTGTGTGGTCTGCACAGCCTCACTGAGCTCTACCTCTCCAAGTGAGTCCCTTTGTCTGTCCACCAACACTCACCTGCACCCTTGCCCCTCCCTATTGGTGTCAACTTCTATTCTCCAGATCTGTGTGTTGGTCTGAGAGGTGCCGTGCTGATACACTGCTGTTATAGAGTCAGACTTTTCTGTAGTCTCGTGTCTCTTTCAGTGATCAAGATTTAAAAAAAGTAAAACAACAGTTTCTGGCTACTAGATAATGCCTCCATGCACTTACCATGGTTCCCTTTAGCACACAGCAGGGGCCATGTTCACCAACATTCTACTGAATACACAGAGCTCAGGTAGCCTAACGCTGTGATCACACCAAGCACAAAGCTTTGTGAAAAAATCTAAGTTCATGTTTGATCAGGTCTATCTGCAAGACGACAAGCAATCAACTCTTAAAAGGCTTGTTTTCTCATTTGAGTTTAAATCGATCAGTGCTGGGCTATGCTAACATTGTATCTGTTCCATCAACACTCAAATAACCTCATCTAGGGACAAATATGGCAGCGACATTATTGCTTATACCATAGACAACCTATGCTTTAATAACATACATATTATCATAGAGCTCTGGGTGACCGCAGACAGCTAGTTTAATTTTTTCCTCCTTATCTGATTCAACAATGTTTAGAAGTTTGTGACGACAGGAGAAAAATCTCACAGCTGCTTTTGCAACACAGCGGCACACTAAAATCTAGCTTGACTTGAAATATTTCAACCTGCACGAATACGCAAATGTCGCGAATTCCACAAATTAGCTTCGTTCATGTCTTTGTGTTGACTAATTGCACCGAACAGAAAATGAGCTTTGCGCTCGTGTGAACACACCGTTACATATTACCCCTTATTACATCTTATTATCTCTTATCATCTCACTAAGCTTGCAACACCACCTCTTTTGTGAGGACCTGAGATTCAATTTGATCTTTTTTAATCTTAATGAAATCTTGAATGCATCAATGTGCTGCTTAATTTTCAGCACTTTTGCACAGTTTATAGGTCAAACACAATAATCTGTACTGCCACATACAGTATTGAAATGGATGGATACAGCTGAAATCAAACTCAATTTAAAACAGTAATCATTTCATCAGTTTTCAGTACAATTAGTTGTGAGCCTCAGACGTTGGTTGTTTTTTACACTGAAGAACATTTTCTTCTAATATGTCGCCAAAAGTCAAATAGTTTTGGCTTCGGTCCCTGGGAACCACGGCTTTGTGTGAGGTCAGTCCTCCTGCTACAGCTGTTTGCAGCTGTTTAATACAAGCAGCAAACTGCTCTGCTCTCACGCACCCAGTGATTGAATTGTTTAGGAAGTTGTGGATCCACAGCATCCTGTGGCTGCCAAAAACCACTTTGCATTTCCATCTGTTTTTGAAAACCCTTGTGAGCTCAGTGAAGGTTCACGAGATCTAAAAAGTTCCTTTTAATAAAATTGGGAATAATAAAACGTGTTCATTTATTAAAAATGGACAATGTCATTTGGATGGTATGTTTAAGCGTCCTGTCTTTCATATGACTCGCTGACCACGTTGTCTCACCTGCTCTGGGAACAGTAATCCTGGAATCCGGGAGCTTCCAGCGGAGCTCAGTCAACTCTCCAACCTATGGCAGCTGGACATTGAAGACCTCAACATTACTAATGTCCCCCAGGAAGTAAGAAAAGAAGGTACTGTCTAACTGTCTTTAAACACACCCTCAAATGACTTTTCAAAAGGAAACATTAGGCAGGGGCCTCTTGGCCAGTATGAACAGGAGGAATGAATACAACAATCAAATCCTGTTGTTCTTCATGTGGGCACCTGACTATTGTTTTCAGTTACACTTGTAAAACTGTCATCCTTTCCTTTAATCAAAATCTACAGTTTGCAGTCTACAACGTCTTAACGCTAAGAGTAACCAGCAATTACAGCAGTCAGATTAATGTACGGGAGTGAAAAAGAAACGTATAGAATGGACCATTTCAAGTGGCGTACAAGTATGTCAAAATGACACTTATGTACATTAGTTGAATAAATGGCCAATGGCACTATGTTTTCGATGTGTTGCAGCACCTGTCTATAGTTTTATGGTAACGGGTCATTCCCAACACTACAAAACCCGAATGTTGACATTGGTTTTTCAGGTCCTGCGTCTGTCCTGGCTTTCCTCCGGGCCCACCTTCGAAAGGCAGAGCCTTTTAAGCTGCTGAAGATGCTTGTGGTTGGTCCACCGAGACAGGGGAAGTCGGCCCTTCTGGAGGCTCTACAGACCGGCAGGGCGGCCCCCTTCACCCCAGCAGAATGCAGCATCTCCACCTCCACCTGGGAGCTGGACAAACCCAACGGAGGCAGAAACAGCGTGAGGAAAACAGACAGTATTGTGTACATTCAATACACACAGTGCATGACCAAACCGGGTTTACCAACTAGATGAAAAATAGATGTCCACTGTGGGGACCCCTAACGACAACAGCCACAAGTGAAGAAGAAGTGAAATATCTGTCAATATCTGTCAAGCAATTCGACATTCAAATCCATACAGTTAATGTATCCAAAACCTGTGATCAGATACCTGCAGAACTAATGGCATACCCATCAGACAGAGCTAGTCTCTGTTTAAGTGTTAGCAATTAGCATATGTTTAGCTCACATTATCAGACCCCAGTGCTCCCAACAGGGAGGAGGGAGAGCCAGGAAGAGAACCTGCTGTGAAGGGAGTTGTGTTGGAAGTCACATGTGGAGATGTCCGGCTCTTTGGAGGCCTCACCGGGGGCCGGGAATCGGGGTTAAAGGAAACGCTGGTTCAACAGTCTGGTTGCCTATCTGCCGTGTATGACTGTGATGTTTGACAGTTGGAGAGTGCAGGTGGAACAGATACCTGCCGCCTTCATGTGGCTGTAAAGAAAGTCCACTAATTGTCATGTAAGAATTACGTCTTGGTGGCAATATTAACAACATTAAAACCTCATCTTTTGTGTGTTTTCACATGACACCTGGTTGAAAAAGGTTGAATGAAAGAATATGATAATGGGGTGGTCTGATTTTAGAGAGATTAATGTACAGTATGTGCCTTCACCAAATATAGTGACAACAGTGCCGGTTGCCAACTATTTATGCTCCACACAACCCCAAAGATTCACATTTACGAATCAGACATCAGCACCTTCAGAAACAGAGTCCCTGTTTCTCTGGAGAATCCACAAAACACTTTGTCAACAGTTTCATTGGGAATAGTTTTTCGTCAGAGTAGTTTCAGTAAAAACTGTGGAAATGTTCTATAAAATAAGGGAGTGGATCTTTAATCATGACTTTCTTTACTCGTGATCTGTTCACTTTCCAGAACCTTGTTTAGAGTTGACTTAGCGCTTGTCTTGTTCAACACAGAAGGACTCGGTGGCCTTCAACGTGTGGGACATCGGTGGTCAAGCGAGCATGTCCACGGTGAACCAGTGTTTCTTCACTGACAAAGCCCTGTACGTGGTGATCTGGAACCTGGCTCTGGGAGAGGAGGCTGTGGCCAACCTACAGACATGGCTGCTTAACATAGAGGTGAAATCTCTCTCTCACTCTCTCACTCACATACACACTCACTCAGAACCTGGTTCCAGCTGTACTTAAGTGCGAGTGGGTCAGAAAGTGAAGGGCGGGACTGTGGTGGTATTTGTGTTTCCAATGGGAGGAAGGACGGATCTAAATTCAAAGAAAATCATTTGGTTGCCAGACCACTTCAACCAAACCCAGGCCAATAGATGTCCTTTAATGGAAGCATGATGACATGGAAGATGTTGAAACTGCTTGCATCATTTCACTTAAGTGGTTGATTGAAGCCTAATAACTTACTCTTGACATTTACTAATGCCTCCCTTTGCTTCCTACTGATTTGTTGGCTAGTTTACATTATTAGTAGCTCCTTTTATTGTATAGGTTGGAGAGGAATTTCCCTCTATTGCAACTTTGTCCTATGAGTTTTGTCTCATTCGGTCTTCATCCTGCCAAAAAAATATTAATGAAAATGATAGCGTGCATCAATTTACAAGTATAGATAAGATACTTTTATTATTGAAAAATCTATACGTTTTCAGTAATGTTATTCTGAAGAATCCTCTTTGTTTAAAAGGTCTTTTTTTTTTCTTGAAAATCAGTAAATGAAAATCTAAAAAATAAACTGCTGCTGGTAGAAAAAAGGTCCTAAAGATTAGTACCACATTAAGTGCAGACACATTGATAAGATGCATGGAAAGAGATTGTAAACAAAGTAAAAGGAATATGCAAGAAACGCGTAATGTCTTACTGAACACAGCAGGTTAACAGAAGTAACACTGAGGTCGTAGTCAGACAATAGGCTATCAAACCAGGAGGATCTCATATCCGTCCCTCCTCGCCTCTACCTCCTTCTTTTCTCTACACAGTCTTCCCAGAATCTAATAAACAGTAACACACTTTCATTACACTAATTAAAAGCTGCAGTAAATGGAAGAGAGCCATGAAAATATATATTTACAGCGGGTAAAATAAGTATTGAACATGTCACCATTGTTCTCAGTAAATAGATTTCTAAAGGTGCTGTTGACGTGAAATTTTCACCAGATGTCGGTAACAACCCAAGTAATCCATATATATACAAAGAAAACCAAACAAATAATTTCAGAAATTATGTTGTGTGTAATAAAATGGAATGGCACAGGAACAAAGTATTGAACACGCTTACTGAAATATATTTAATACTTTGTACAAAAGCCTTTGTTGGTAATGACAGCTTCAAGATGCCTCCTGTTTGGAGAAACTAGGCGCATGCATTGCTCAGGTGTGATTTTGGCCCATTCTTCCACACAAACAAGTCTTCAAATCTTGAAGGTGCCGTGGGCCTCTTCTATGAACTCTGATCTTTAGTTCTTTCATAGATTTTCTATTTGATTCAAGTCAGCTGAATTCCTTGGCTGTGTGTATGGGATCAATGTTGTGCTGAAATGTCCACCCTCGTTTCATCTTCATCATCCTGGTAGATGGCAGCAGATTTTTATCAAGAATGTCTCGGTACATTTTTCCAGTGCTGTATGCTGAGAAACAGCCCCACACCATGATGCTCCCACCTCCAAACCTCACTATTGGTATGGTGTTGTTGGGGTGATGTGCAGTGCCATTTGACCTCCAAACATGGTGTGTATTATGGCATCCAAAGAGTTCAAGTTTGGTCTCGTCTGACCAGACTCTATTCTCCCAGTACTTCAGCCTTTTTTTTTGGAATATTTTATTTTTCCATGTATTTTAACAATGCAAGAGAGCATACAGAACACAGTAGATTAAACATTACACAAAAGTACATAACAAGTTAAGAAAGAAAAACACAAATAGATGAAATAAAATTAAGCAAATAAATAATTCCCCCCACCCAAAGAAAAATATAAAAAATAAAGTTGGTGCATAAAGTGACACAGCACAAAGAGACTGCAATGACAGTGTATATTGTAAATCAGAGCTCTAAAATAAATGATATCTAGTCTCTTTCTGAGACTATATGTAATCTTTTCAAGAGGAATACAACTGTTTATTTCCACAGACCATTTGTCGATGAGAGTGGGGGAATCAGACTTCCATGTCATTGCGATACATTTCCTGGCCACACAAAGCAATTTCTGCAAGTTTAATTTGGAGCTTCGTTAAAGACCTGTTGAGAGTTGTGAAGTTTCCCAGTAAACATAGCTCAGGATCTAATGGAAAGGTAACCCCTGTGATCTTAGTTATTGTATTACAAAAGTCATACCAAAAGGACTTTACCTTTGTGCAAAGCCAGGTACAGTGTAGGAAGGAGCCAACCTCTATACCACATCTGAAACACATTTCTGACAATTCAGGTTTGGATTTATGTAGCTTCTGTGGGGTGAGGTACAGCTGATGAAGAAAGTTACAATGAACAAGTCTGTACTGGGCATTAACCGTTGCTGATAAACTGTTCTGGCACAAATCTGACCAGAGTTCTTCATCAATTGTTATATTCAAGTCTGATTCCCATCTCATCCTGGATCTGTGTACTCCTGGTTTTGGGCCCTCATTCAGCAACATGGAGTACATTTTAGAAATACATTTGTACACATTTCCCTGGTGAAGCAATTTTTCCACATTAGTTAACACAGGTAGAGTCATTCCAGAGCCCAGTACTTCACAGGCTTGTCTAAATGTTGTGCAGCAAACTTTAAACGAGTTTCAACATGCTTTTTCTTCAGCAGTGGAGTCTTGCGTGGTGAGCGTGCATACAGGCCACGGTGGTTGAGTGCATTACTTGTTGTTTTCTTTGAAACTATTTTACCTGCTCATTCCAGGTCTGTCTGAAGCTCTCCACAAGTGGTCCTAGGCTCTTGGACGACTCTTCTGATAATTCTTTTCACTCCTCTGTCAGAAATCTTGCGAGGAGCACTTGGTCGTGGCCGGTTCTTTCCACTTCCGGATTAAGGCCCCATCAGCGTTCACTGGAACTTGCAGGAGTTTAGAAATCCTTCTGTAACCAATGCCATCAGTATGTTTTGCAACAATAAGGTTGCGACAGTCTTAAGAGAGCTCTTTGCTTTTACCCATCATGAGATGTTTCTTATTGTGACACCTTGGTAATGAGACACCTTTCTATAGGCCATCAGTTGGGACTGAACCAGCTGATATTAATTTGCACTGACAAGGGGCAGGAGTGCTTTCTAATGACTGATAGACGTCAGCTGGTGTCTTGGCTTTCCATGCCTTTTTGCACCTCCCTTTCTTCATGTGTTCAATACTTTTTCCCTGTGTCATTCCATTTTATTACACATAACTTAATTTCTGAACTTATTTGTTTGGTTTTCTTTGTATATATATGGATTACTTGGGTTGTTATTGACATTGGTGAAAATTTCACGTCAATAGCACCTTGAGATATATATTTACTGAGAATAATGGTGACGTGTTCAATACTTATTTTACCCGCTGTAAATACATATAAGTCATCCTACAATGAATAAAGTTCAGCTATATGTTACATGTTTTTATTATGGCATACATCGTAGACAACACAACACAGTGAAATTGAACCGCTCCTTTTAACCCATACTAAGTCTGACAAGTTGCAAACTTCAGTTAGGAACGGCTGAGTTTGTGAGTGGTAGGAATGTCAGAACTGTCACTGTTGGAAGTTTAATTATGGCTTCAGGCTTCTGTTTATGTGTTAACCTCATTTCAATCAGGTGTTTGCCCCCGAGTTCATTTCTCTGTAGGCACTAATGATAAAAAGTGAGTGTTAACGATTGACACATCTGACCAAGTGCATATGCTGGCTAAAACAGCATGTGAGGAATTATTTTTTTACTCAAAAATGTTTATTAGTATGGAAGCATTCATTTTCATGTGAACAAAGTTCCATACTTGGGTCATATGATGACAACTCAACCAAACTCCATCTGCTGAGGAAGAACATAAGAAGAGGATGTTCTATAAACATGTTGGCTCCTGTGTGTTGTGGCTTGTAGGCGCGAGCACACAACTCTGCCGTGGTGGTTGTGGGAACACATTTGGATCTCATTGACACCAAGTTTCGCACTGAAAGACTGGCCACGTTGAGAGCTTATGTTCTGGCTCTGTGCCGATCCCCGTCAGGGGCTCGAGCCACCGGCTACCCTGACATCACCTGGAAACACCTGCAGTAAGCACACCTTTGACTTTTCATGGTTTGTTTAAGCTTAATGCCAGTTGGCACTAGTATCAGCTTTTCAGAACATCTGTTCATCTGTCTGGTGTGTGTGTGTCTGTGTGTGTCTGTGTCTGTGTCTTGGTTCTCAGTGAAGTGTCCTGTAAAACCCTGGAGGGTGTGGATGGGCTGAAGAAGCTGATCTACCAGGTGGCTCTCTCCATGAAAGACAGCAGCAGCTCAGCCTGTGGCAGTAAACTGCTGGGCAGACTGGTGAGTGAGAGCGTGTGACTGGGACGCTCCACACTGTCTGTGTAGAGAGAGTTTGGACCAACGGGGAGAAGCTGTTTGCTTACATATCACTGACAGAGCTTAAAGACAAAGCTTTCTTAAAATGATCCAATATGTTTTCAATAGTTTAATGGAGACATACCATGCACATTTTTCAGGTTCATAATGGTATATTTGGTTTCGACTAGAACGTGTTTACATGCCTTAATGTTCAAAAAACATATTGTTTACTATTAAATATGTGTTAAATACATATTAAATAACCGTTCAATAAAATAAATAAAAAAACAATCAGACCTTACCTTACGTGACACTCAAGTGGAGGCACGCATCGCTGCGTGCTTTGCTGACATCTCGAAGTGGAAAACCGACCTACTGTTCCTCCCGGGGAAGGGTTGCCTGCACCGAGACCTGTCCATCACCATTGATGAAACCGTGGTGACGCCAACTCGGACTGCGAGGAATCTGGGTGTGACGCTGGACGACCAACTGTCGTTCTCAGCAAACATTGCATCGGTTACACGCTCCTGCAGATTCCTGCTCTACAACATCAGGAGGATTCGCCCTTCCTCACTGACGAGACGGCGCAGGTGCTCATCCAGGCTCTTGTCATCTCCCGCCTGGACTACTGCAACTCACTACTTGCCGGAGCCCTGGCGTCGGCCATCAGACCTCTGGAGCTTGTCCAGAAAGCTGCAGCTCGCCTGGTGTTCAATCGCCCCAAGTTCTCCCACAGGCCACGGTCAAGCCCTACACCCATAGTCACACACATAGTCAGGCAACAGTAAAAACAACAATATGACCCACATGTATCAAACATGGCACCGACACCATACAAAGGCTTATTGTTGTGGCTTTGGTACAAATGTACTGGAGGAGCTTAGTACAGTAGTTCCTGTGGTTAGTTCCTGGAGCTATTTGGTCAGAAAGACTCAAAACTATCAAGAACTTCCTGATGTTGTTCTAAATCACAGACAGATTTGATTCCTCCACCAGATCCCCAGGAGCTACCTGACACTTAAGGAAGCAGTGATAACGGAGAAGCAGAGGCGAGACGCTGAGGGGGAGGTCCTATACCTAACTGATGACCAGCTGGACCGCATCATTGAACAGAACCCAGGAAGTGACATCAGAGACTATGAGGACCTGCAGACTGGTACTGTGGCTTGTTCAGCACCTAGATTTGAAAGTCATTTGTTTGACTTGTTTTTTTTTGTAACCTTAAATGATTTTCTTCTACAAAAGTGTATGTCCAGCATTTCTTTGTGAAAGCTTTCCATTTACTTTGGTTAGCCTCACAAAAGCACCCTCAGACAGCCCTGTGTTTGTCAGTGATTGGGCTGGAGAGGGGCTACACCCAGGTGCATATGTTGGATGTGTTTCCATTCACATTACCTACAACAGTGGAGCTACGCCAACACTCCGTCCACTGATACACAACTCTCATACACGCCAATCAGCTTGTGCTAACCTGTGCGCATGTTGCAAGCAGCATACGGCTAAAGGTCTCCGGGCAAAGCTTAGGGCTCGACAGTAATGGCTTCCAGCTTGAGAAACTGGCAACCAATTCTAGCTAACAGCCAAATGTAGCAAACGTGCACTCAAAATAAATACATTTGTCATATTTGTTGCGTTAGATGTATGAGCTACTTATCCATAGTCCGTGTATTACTACAGTAGATGGCTGTCGGCAAAGCCCCGATAAATTTGTTTGTATTTATGTATGTATTTAGAATATTTTTTGACATGGAACTGAACTCAAAGTGAAAACATATCTATACGGTTTCTGTCAACATAGTTCTGTGGTTATGGATTATTTTAGATGTCTAAAATACACTTTAATGCTTCCCCCGTCCACAGCAGTGCATAACTTTGCTCTGACTATGGATAAGTACCTCATACAAAGAGAAAAGAAGATCAGACTGGGCCAGTCGATGAAGTCTAAACTACTGCTCCAACTCTTTCTTATTCTATAATTAATACCTATTGGTCTCCCGATGATGTTTAAAGAAAGCACTATATGTGTATATATATATATGTGTATATATATATATGTATATATATGTGTATATATATATATATGTATATATATGTGTGTATATATATATATA